TATTTAATAGTGAAACTGTTATGACTGAAATAGTTGCGTTTGAAACAAATTTAAAAATTATATTTTAAAACTGTCGTCTTTCTTGCCGAGAGATTTAACTGTGACGATAATGCATTTATATATAATATTTTCTGACTTCAATATAAATGTACCTGTTGTAAAAGCATCATGTCTGATCACGCGTTGATTGGTACTACTTAATACTCTTGCAACGTATCATATTTTCCATTATTAATTAAATCTCTTGACGGATGAACTGAATAAAATTACCTCCAAAAATGCCAATTTTAATCCTATCGAAAGTTTGATCGAAACGAACTTTTTAAATACCATTTAAAAAATAAATCTACTCCATTTTCATTCCCTCATGAACAAGGACTTTATCTTCCTTTTACCACAACTTATCCTTCTAAAATTGATTAACAAATTAAAGCAAAATTGACTACCAATTACACAATCATCGAAAAGATAAAACAATAACTTAAACATTATGAATGTGTACTCTTAATTTTCCATCCATCTCACTGTATCAAAAGTTGAACAACGTATTCAATAATCTGCGCATTTCGCGCGTTGGACAGACGGAAAAATAAGAGGATACTTTCGAGAGTATGAATATATGAAGTGAAACGTGGAAAAGGCTGAGGGAAGGGGTCTCGTCTAGAACGCAGGGAATCTTCTCCTTTTGCGAGTAGTGCCAGTCGTACTTTGATCAGGCGCACTGGATTTACGTTCATCCTTGGCAATCTACCATCTCTTTCCATATATAGTATATACATACATATATATATATCCTTCTCTCTCTCTCTCTCTCTCTCTCTCTCTCTCTCTCTCTCTCTCTCTCTTTGTGGAAGATTGGTCGAGTTGCAACAGCGTTAGCGACGTCTTTGAAGCACGATTCGTCGCGTCGTAGGCATTTCAACGAGGTCGAAGCAGCGGCGGAAGTGCCGCGCCAATGTCATTATAGAGAGAAAGAGACGAGCACGCAGCTTGCACGGCCGATCGAAGGAAACCGGAACAATGGTTAAAAGTCGGCCTTTGATTTTTCGTTCTCGATTCCGACGTACAACCAGAATAATAATTATTCTGGAGTTGGTACTTTTTAACGGGTGACTTTTGTAACGCGACTAATTTGAAAACGGGACTGTCATCCTGTTCAATTATACCAAATCAACCTTTATGTCAATATACAGTGGGGTGCAAAATTGAGTCAATAACAAAAATTTTTAAGAAATATATTTTTTATTGTTAAATGAAATATAAAAACATGAAAATAAACTTGATCTATCTGATTCTTTATAGTTTTAAGAAACTGAAGCTATTTTTTTAACTTTTAAGATTTGGTTTCTTCCTGGTAGAAAAAATTAAAAAGCATAGAATCAATTTTGCACCAGAATTTTTTCACAGTCAGATTTACAAGCTTTGTTGTACCTTAATATTTTGTCCATAAGCCATTTGCTTAGATAATAGCTCTAATACGTCTTGGTAACTTTCAAACAGTCTTGAGCAGAAATCAGGTGGCATTTGATTCCACTGTTCTATAACACGAGCATGTAGCTCCAGTACTGAGCTAGGAAGAGATTTGTCTATGCGTCTAGAATTTTTTTTTTTTCAATATACCCTATAGATTCTCGATCGAGTTTAGGTTAAGGCTTCGTGCAGGCCAATCTAAGATCCGAAATTCCTAAGTAGTCAGCTAATTAGTTACGTTTTTCGCTCCGGATCATGTTTTCGAAAACGATTTCTTCTACAGCGAAGGGCATATCTCACATACAATTTGGCAAATGTTCTTTTATATATATATATTGTGTCTATGTTCTCAGAAATCAAAGATTATCCAAAGATTTTGTAGATGTTCTTTGTTTAATAAGATATCTTCAAATAACAATGAACAACGGCAATAAAACGAATTAAAGGAGAATGAATAAATGAATTTAATAAAACGAATCCGTCAGAAGGATTAACAGCCTCACTCGAAATGGAAAAATTAGATAATTCGCCAAACATCTCGCAATATTTCAATTATATAGCTTTCCAAACAACAAGTTGCGATTATCGATGGGCAACCATAAAGAAAATCGAGATAGAGCGAGACGAATCGGCGCTGTTCGAGAGACCGGTCGAAATTTATAACGACGAACGCAAGCGGCTGTTCCCGCGTGGAAAGAAAGAGGGCTGCTTGGTCGGATTTAGGGAGACGCGGCAGTTGTTTGTCGCGCCGGTGAATTTACAACTGTAATTTACACGATCGTCGAATATCCCGTTTCAACCTTAACATCGACGTGGAGAGAACGATAGACGGGACCGTAGGTGCTCGAAACAGCCCCGAGCGTGATTGAGAACGTCTTTGAGAACGCGATTTAGGAAAAACAAACAAAAGAGAATTGCCAGAAGACGGAGCATCCTATTTTCTTAGCTGCTCCGCCGTCTTCTCCAGCTTCGAACAGAATTCGTCGGTATCTTTCTTCGAAATTTTTTTGTCCCTCCTTCTTTCGGAACCTTCCACATCTTGCTACATCGATACAGGATCAATTTAGTTTTATATTGTCAAGTTCTACCATCGTTTCATAGATTTTTGAATTTGTACAACACTCGAGGAAATACTCCTTGGAATCTTTTTAGTTGTAGAATTTTTTTTGGAGTCTCTCTTTTCATTGGAAACTTTCGTTAATTTGTGGAATTTCTTTATTAAAAGAAAATTGTCTAATTGCGAGAAACCTGATTAGTATTCTTTGCAATTTTTTAGATTCGAGAACTTCTGTATTCACGAAAGAATTTCTGTAAGAATTTTAGTAAATTGCTTTTAAATTATAAGTTTTCCTCAAAGTTTATTAAAATTTCACCTTTATAGAAGTTCCGCCAATTTACCTTTAAACATTCCTCGTGATCTTCCCGATTAAAAAATCTCTGCGAGACTTATGAAGAAAAAAAAAAAAACAAAATTGCCTTTGTAATTATAAAATCTGCGTGTTGCTGATAAAAGAACTTATAATTTCACAGTTAACTACTTTCAAAGTCACCACCGCCAAATTAATATTAACGTTGAACCGCGGACAGTTTCATAAAAGATAACAGAAAAATTTCGCAATCCCGAGAATCGAATATCGAATATCCAAGAGCATTTTGTTGATTATATAAAACAGTGTTCCTTTTACTTTTTTTTTTTCTTTCTCTTTTATCGAGAGATTTCTTAATCTTGTTGCCGCGATTTTTCCACGGTGAAACGAGCAACGAGAACCATCGACTTCCTTCCGCTTTACAAAGTATAGGGGAGGGGAAAAAAAAAGAGAGCGCAGACCTGGTATCAGGAATTCATAGAGGAATCTCTATCGATCGGTTATTTACAAGGAAAAAATGCGATGCCGATAGAAGCGGTCTCTGTTTTATCGAAACAGAAGCTCTTAATAAAGCGTAATAAAGACTCGAAAGCCTCAAGAATTTTCATTATTATCAAACGATACGCTGTCAGAATATTCCCAATAGTGATCGTTTTTTTCTCTCTCTCTCCACCTTTCCCACCCTCTATACGAGATATATATATACTTCAGAAAATACGTGGAAAATATACATTGGGCGAGATTGCTGGTTGGTTTATTGGCTCGAATAGCATCGAAGGAATTATTCAGGTCGAAGGTGCGAGATCAATTTTCATCTGGCACGAAATTATTCACCGCGATCCCGTTTGACTGAATGAAACATAAATCGTCGTGACAGTGGTCAAACAGTTTAAGCAATTTCGCGGGTTAATATCTAACGCTTGATTAATTTAGTCGGACGAAGTTAAACGATCCGGGGTTATCGGAGTTCAACCGTTCGGCCACGGCCCGGATTCTTCTTCAATTATTAAACGCGTAATCCGACGCGAATTTCATTTTCGAAAAATTTCGAAGAATTTTTAATAATTCAATCTCACGTTCGGCACGATAGAAATTTGTGTTGCGTAATCTCATGAATAATATAAATGCCGGTTGTTTTATCGATAATTGATTGGCAACGTATTTATTTTGGAACCATTGTTTATGCTACCCAGTAACAATCGTTTATTGTCTTTCTAGACACCATGTTTCCCGTTTTCTTTTTGAAACGCTTAATTTTGAAAATTATCGTCGTGACTTAACTTCTGAAATTAGCCAACATCTAAATATTTTATAACATTTCAATCAAATTTAATAAAATTAATAAATTAAATTTAATAAAATTTATATAATTTTTATAATATTTATTTATACCAATTTTGTAACACTTCTATCGTAACTTGACCTTTGAAATTAATCTTTAAGTACCTTTGAAATACCTGTTACTAAAATATTCTTTAAAAAAATCCTAAAATTCAACTGACATTCGATCGCATCGCTCTTTCTCTCTCAGAGAGAAATCCCCAATTTCTCAAAATCCCGGAGCAAATCCCCAAGAGTAGCTGAAGTTTCTCAAAAACTAAGCGCTAAGCTAAATGAAATGCCCGAAATTGCCAAGAGAAAGAAATCTCCCAAACAGCTGTAAGTATTCGCGACTCGGAGGAAGTGAATGGGAGGGAGCGAACGTAGACGCCGAAAATGAAAGGCCGCGTGCATTCGGCACGGACGAGGGTGAGTCGAGGGAAACAATCGTGGCGTGGGCAAAGGCACGGAGAGAGCTGTGCTCGTACACATAGGATTAATTCTCGCGATGCGAAGGATCAGTGTTGGCGGCGGTGGGGCGTGAGGGGTGAGAGAATCCCTTTGAAATCTTTCGGCGATTAATTCATTCGAAAGCAACGGTGGCGGCGGCGGAGACGGCGGCGAAACGAAGCGAAGCGTGCAATTTCGACAAGACGATCCCGTGGCAGGCGTTTTCAGTGTGTGCACGTGTATCGTCGGGCCACAAAGCGGCCGCGATGCCTCTTGCCAATTGGTTTTCGCGCAAAATTTGTCGGCGTAATTACGACGCGGCCAGTTACGACTAAAATCCCAATCCGGTTACTTTCTCGCGTTCTCACGTTCCTCTTTCTCTTCGTGTTTCAGATACAAGTGTACGGATTCAACGCGGAACTGTATCACAACATGAGCGAGGCGCAGCACAAGAGTCAAGGACTCGTCGCGATTTCGTTGATGGTGCAGGTGAGTGAACGAATGGTACTGTAAGTTTCGACGTGATGCTCGAGGTGAGGAAGTTTCGCGACGATTTTGAAGTAACGCGACAGAAGTGTTGTTCAATGGATTTTTCACTTTTGGAAATTGATACAATTCAATGGCTAGCGTACACAAACACTGGGGATAAATTTACATAGACCACGATCGTTTCCTGAAATTGTTATATTCGAATATATTATCCGCTTGAATTTGAAACATTCAGATCGTGATATAAAGCAAATAAACGGGTTTGTTCAGTTCATTTATTTACAACGGGTGACATTTGATTTTTTTGTGTATTTGAATTTTTAGAAGTAAAAGTGATTAAGTGTTCGAATTTACTATGTATAATTTACTTTGAATGGCTAAAGTTAATGCACCACAGACAGACAATCAATGTCATGCGTGTGCATATATTTGGACCATGAAAGAATTCTCAAAGATTCAGAACAGAGAGGATGATGAAGCGAGAGATTAAAATGGAATAAATGGAATGATTTGTTACTTGAGATTTCATGTTATCACTTTTTCTATTGTATATTAACGTTTCGTATCAGAAGAGTATTTACATTGTAAAGTGTACGTTCCATCTGTTTCGCATCAATTTTGTAACAAACGCTCCACTCTGCCACGCCGGGATTACTAGATAAATGAATATGCATGAGATATATAAACGCTGTTTGAGCGGAGAGGATGTATATGTGTGCGCGAGAGATATTTTTCTATCAAGGAAACGTTTATGATTCCTTTCGTTCCGGTAAAATAAAAAAAAAAGAAGAAGAAGAAGAAGAAGAAATAAATATTCGAGGAAGAATTATAAAAAAGGAAAAATAAAAACATTAAAACAGGGATGTACGTCGTCGAATTTCGTAAAAACCTCGATTAAAATAATTTCAACAAACGATCAATAGACCCGTTAAAAATACAAAAATATAGATTTCAAATGGATCGGGAACAGCAAGAGCAAGGGGGATTCAAAAACAAGGCTGGTAACCGGAATTCTATACGTCGACAGGGGATAGTTTGGCTCGTGGAACTCGGAAATTTGTTCCCGAGTTTGCGAGCTAGGTATCGCGTGTTTACCGTGTCCATTCGATCGAAATAATTATTCCATCGCGATAACGTCGACAATCAAAGCGAAGAAAATTACGAAAGTTATGAATTTGTCGTTTCAGTGAAAATGAAATTTTCAAATGTTTTCAATTCAGAAATTTTGTCCACAAGTTGGCTGTTCGTGCAAAATATAAATTTGTATTTTACTAAATATAACTACAGAAATCGAAATATTCTAGTCAGTATTTTTCTTTTTTTTTTAACCAGTTATTTTTCTTCCATTGCCAATTTCACGGAAAAATTCTATCTATTCAAAATATAGCTGAATATTTAGTTCCAGAGATTCTTTTCAATGCATCTAACTGCGAAAATTCTCCATTTTGTTTAAAACACACGCAAGCTTTCATTTCTCACTTGAATTCACTAATAAATTAAATCTGTATGAATTTGTAAAATAAGCGATGCGTTCAACGAAAGGTATAATTAAAAATTTCTGCGCAACATGTTTTTGAAAATAACTTATATATATATTAAGGCTTTACGCATCGGAACAATTTTCCATTTTTTCACGTGCTGTGAAGCCTCCTTTTTTCAAAAAAAAANAAAAAAAAAAAAAAAAAAAAAAGAAAAAGAAATAGAACGAATCTATCGTGGAAAAATAAAAGCGCGTGTATTTCAAAAAATAAATAAATAAATAAATAAAATCGGAATAAAACAAACGAGAGAAAAAGAAAGGAGGAGAAGAAGTTAGGTGAAAAAGAGTGAAAGATTTTATTAGCGACATTCTTATTAGCGAGCAATTATTTCGAAGTCTCGCAGACAAACATCCGGTAAGTTCTCCGCGGCTGTGCGGCGCTTGTTCCAAGAATAAATTCCAAAGTTTTGAAGGAAACGGTCTGCTTTCGCCAGCCCGTCTGACCTCGCTCTCATACTCTCACATTTTCTCTCAATTCGACCATCCTGCGTTCTCTCTTTTTCTCTCTTTCTCTCTCTTGCTTTTACAACCCTTCTGAAATCGGCGTTCTACTAGAAGAAACTAAAAAGCCCGCGATTCTGAGGCAACAAATGCCAGGAAACAAACGTTTATGCTTCTGATTTCTAGCACGATAGTTCAACAAACTCGTCGCTTCACTCGGATTATTTATCGAAACATCGACTCGTTTCGAGCTTGTTCTACTTCCTTTTTTCACCCGTACCCCTTCACATGATCATTTTTCGAAAAATTCTCGGAATAAGTTTATACATTTTCATACTTATCGTTTCACTTAACTGGCGATAATTTAATAATCTATTGAGGCGAACGTTTATTATTTTTATTTTGAGAAACTCTACACATTAGATTGAATACCATTTTCTTAATTTCCTACATTCGTTCATTTTCCGATATATATCGACTTTTTTAGTTTTATCTAATATCTTCGATACCTTCAGTTAACTAACAATAGAGAATTTATTTATCGAGGCAAACGTGTGTAATTTTTGTGAGAAACTCTATTCGTTAGATTAGATTAAATTCCATTTTCTTAATCTTGTATATTCGTTTAATTTCATATCGATCTTATGTTCTTTAAACTTAACTAACGTTGCGATACCTGTTCTTCACTTGTTACCACTATGCTCAAAATTATAGGTATGTATATACTAGAGGTGTGCGAGAACGCGAAATTATCGAATCGGATCGGGAACACGAAATTTTTTGGGGATCGGGACGGATACCAGAAAATTTCGAAATTCTCGAATTTATCGGGATTCTCGAAAGAATCGGGATTCCCAAAAGAGTTGGGATTTGGGAAAGGATTGGGAACAAGCTCAAATAATTCGTTAAAACCCACGCTTTCAACTATATCGAAAGTTCGCAGATCTAGAACCATCATTCGAGCAATTCCTTCTGTTATATCTGTTGATTTAACAATCTTTCGCGTATCATTTTGTACATGCGACAAATTTTATATGCGATTCAGTTTCTTTTCTACTTCACATATACTAATGTTTGAATGCATATGCTTCAAATGGCGTAATAAACCAGTAGTATTTGCTTACCTAAATTTAAATTCATGGTGACCATGCGTGCATCCCGCCTTTGTATCGTCTTTTTCTTGAAAATGTTCCCAAACAGAGCTTTTTTTTACCTTGTTCTTTTGCACGATATCTTCTGCACTACTGCTACCACAACTTGACTCTCACTATCACTCGACGTTGGTTTTAAAGATTTTTAGTCTTTATTAAATTCACACAGATTTTGAAATATACGTCTGACCTCCCCGAGTTTCTCAGCGATACTGTTCAACAGCGTACATAATGTCCAAGTGCTAAGCACGCAGTCATACGTTTGTATACATCAGGTCACACGATTCTTAGAATCCGTGTTTCCAATAATTTCACTGGCAGAAGATATTGAATTGTATGTGTATTTACATATTTTGTAGGCTGCTATACAGCCGGGTTTTCAAAATTTTCGGGAAACCCGATTCCTTCGGGAATCTCGAAATTTTCGGGTACTCTCTTCCCAACTCGTCCCGATCATCAAGTTTTCAATATTTTCGGGTTCTCACACACCCCTAGTAAATAAATTTTTGTAAAGATATTTTTTTATTATAATAATTAAAAATCAATGTGCTACTGGTTGGAGGAACATGTCCAAACGAATATCTGCAACGTTGGTGGAATATTTTGTCATCAAAAATATATGCTGTATATTAAGAAAATAGATGTTACAGAATTTTTGTACTATAAAATAATGTAACATTTTCTAAGAAACATCTGTTAAACAACGGATGAAATTAAATGCGTTTACAACGAGTCAAACAAAGTATTGACACACCTAATTTTATGCGATATTTTTATGATACGTTAATAAAATCTGTTTGCATAAATAGTTCACTACGTACAAAAGTGATAGGCATAATTTCCAATAACAAGTTATACAATAATAACACAAGAGATATAAAAATTCGCGAATCGAAAAATTCCGGCAATGCTTCGTGTGCACACGATCGCCCATGATGTCGAAATTAAAATCATAGTCCGTTAATTTTATATTCGGTTCAAATATAAATATGGTGGAGCTGCTAGAAAGGAATCCCTCGTATGCCAATATTTTTCTGATTCTATTGACATTAATATTGCTTAATAACTCGTTGCTGGAAACTGCTACGTTACTTTCTTTCACGCGGCAAACTACGTGACTATTTGCGAAAACAAATCTCGTTAATGCATCATTCGTTTTCACAAAAATATTGCAAGAAGACTAAGGTGCGCCAATACTTTCTCGATGCGCACGGTAAACGTGTTTATATTCATAGCGATAGTGAAAATCACACGACGCTACGGTAACATCGCCGTATAGTGCTCCACGTTAGCATCAATCAACAGTCACGCACCGAAACCCGACGCGGGTGTTCGCTCGCGAGCAAGCGTAATTCTCATCTCCGTTGGCATCAGTTCCCAGCGGCTAATGACACAAAAATCCACGGGCGGGCGGCTCGTTTCCAAATCATTACCCAAAATCAGTGGTCGTCGTCAGCCAAGGGATTAACGACGCGAGACGGAAAGGGGAGAGGCGAGAAGAAAAAGCCGGGAGCGTATACCCGCGAAAAAGCTCGGCTCGGTCGCGTGACGGGGATTTCCAGCCCGGTTTTGCGCGGGTCGCGCCGTTTACTTCCGGAATAAATTTTCAAAGTTACACAGCCAGCCGGCTCCCGTCTTCCTTTTCCTTCGCCATCTCCACCAAGGTGGGTCTTTAGCGCGGCTGAGACGCGCGGCCGTGAAACAGAGAGAACGGGCAAAAAGACGACGACGACGATGGGAGAGGGAGTGAGAGTCCTTTAGGATGCATTAAGGACGCGACGCGACGGGCAACCTGAATGTAAACCACTTACTCCGGAAGTTTACAATATTCGGGGGGAAAAGGAGATGACATTACCGAGACGACGTACCCTGATTTTTCCCCTCTCACCCTTGTTTTATACGTTCGCGATTTTAGAAAGAAGCCGCTTGCTTTATGCGTTCATGTTTTTAGGAAGGAATCGCTGATTTTTCTTTTTTGGTAGTTTTGAATATTTATATCGCGGGAATTTTTATAGTTAACACTATACTCCTTGTAATTTCTTTACATCATTTTTTGGGTAATATCAACTGTCCGTAGTGTCATGTGACTTATCCATATGGTCAAATTTCGAAAATTTCATTTTGCATACACAGTGTTTCGTTATTAGATTTCATTCGTACAATGTTATCAAATGATTCATTTTGGAATCTTATGTCATAAATTTCAATGTAAATAGCTACAGTTAATTAATTATCTTTTTCTTTTATAGATTACCGAAATTCTGGTTATACAAAATTCGAAACGAAAAACAAACAACAAAGCTTAAAATTTCTATCTGAAATTTACTGATTTATATCAGATATTCTCTTATCAACAATCCCTTTTCAAATATACAGTGTGTAGAAATACGCAGTGTTCCATCATGTGGAAAGTAGAGCAAAGGAAAGCGTAAAATAAGATTTTTTCATCTAAGGCTCCGTCGAGTTTAAAAATTTATCAAGCATCGCGGCAATTTTTAACGAAACACATTCAAAGCCTGTTTCCTTGGAAATGAAGCTCGGAATAAAAAAAATTTCATTCTATACTTTTCTCACCTATATTTACACGCAGGCTAACTCCCTGCGTCTGAAATTAGCTAAATATATTTCAAATATACTTGATATTCCCAAAAACGGAGTCTCGGATGAAAAAAAATTTCATTCTATACTTTCTCGACTTATTTTTCAACGCAAATACAATTCCACTTTATAAAAATTATTTCAAACAATTATTCCGCGCCATTTGCCTTTCAAATCTCCTTCTCTCCACCACTGTACGCCACATCATCGCCTCCAAATCTCATCATCATTGTCGTCGTCGTAACAATGCATTCGTGACAACGGAAGGAAGGAAGAATTTTGAAACCGTTCCCAGAGCGGGGCACCGTGGGTGTCGCGGGCCAACCTTTAACAGGTGCTCGATCTCTCGATGGCGGTGGTAGCTGGTAAAAGTGTGTCGTGGCAGGGGTGGGGCGCCATGTCGACGGGTGTAATTCAAACGGATTATACCCCGGGGGTGTCTGAGAGGGATAAGATCCAAATGAGTCGGTGGCAGCGTTCCCTGTCAACGCTCGAACAATCCGGACGGGGCTAAATGAGCTCCCGGATATTTTCACTCGCGCGTTGCCATCCGTTTCCGCGTGTGCACCACCCATCGCGGGGACACTCGTGTCGCTCGTTTTCACCGGGATGGATTTATCGACTGAAGTTTTAGTCGTTTGTTCTGGAACCTTGGATGCCGGACGGGGGAATTACGACGGCGGGTTTTAATGAATACGGGGCGAGGTGAAATTATTCGACGATGTTTGCGTTGATTGAAGGGGATATAAGCGCTGAGGGAGGAGGGAGGAGGGGGGAGGAGGGTGGTGAACGACGAGCCGGTGATGGAAACACACGCGGTTTCCTTTTTCTTTTTTTTCTTTTTCACACTTTTCACTGGATCTTCTACTGGATGGTTCTTTTCCCCCTTCTCTCTCTTTTTTCTTTTTTCTCCTTTTAAATTGCGTTGACGTGTTTTTTTTTTTTTTTTTTTTTTTTTTTTTTTGTTTTCCTTCGTATCGTGGAAACGAACGAGTTACGGAAGTATTTATTTTTTCAGCGATGTCCCGTTTATTTTTGTACATACGGCATACAGCAACGGCTTTTTGCATTTTTCACTGGATCTTCCACGCGTCTTTTTTTTTTTGGTTTCCTTCCTTGCTTTTCTTTTGTCTCTTTTTTTAAAATTACGTTGATGTGTTTTTTCCTTCATATGGCGGGAATAAATAAATTACGGAAGTGAGTTTATTCTTTTAGAAACGTCCCATTTGTTTTTGCATATACATTGACAATTTTGGCATTTTTTTTTTTTTTTTTTCATTGGATCTTCTACGCGTTCTTTTCCTTCCTTTCATTTTTTCTTCTTTCCTTTTTTTGCGTTGACATGTTTTTTTATTTCACATTATGGAATCAATTGCGAAAGTATGTATTTTTTTTAGAAATATCCCCATTTATTTTTGCACACGCATCAACGACTGTAAATATTAGAATATCTGCTCGTTGCGTTTGTTGGAACACTGTAGCAAGTCCATTTCGTGTTTTACATTACAAGTTACGTGTGCTAATTTAAACTCTCTGACGACAGTGAAGCAATTATTGTTATTGTACACTCGATATACGCTCGATGTAATTCATGCGTACAATTTTGAAACTATAATACATGCAAAAGGTAAAGTTGCAATATTTAGCGAATTACACAAGTTTTTATTTAAAATTCATTGCCTTGTTCGCATTCACAAAAGTGCGCATTTGCATAGACTTGCATAATCTACTATCTAATTATACATCATACTGAAAATCTGACTTTTACTATCGTTGTAATTGAAGTAGTATTTCCACTGTAGAGAATCTCTCTCTCTCTCTCTCTCTCTCTGGTGATATTTTATTTTATTATTAATTGGAAGGTAATTCGGATATAAATTTTACGAAGGAAAATAAATATTATCACTGCCCTATTAAATCGTGCAACATGAGGTACGAAACAAACATGATAATACGTTAAATTGTTAGACCAAACGAGCCGTATAATGCAATAACGTAGCCATTGATTCCACTTTATTACGGCAAGTTGAAAATTTTATTATCAGTTAATAAATTATCGAGCTTCGAAGCTAATAATACAGTTTGCCTCCATTTTGCCTGCCGGATAAAGACGCGATAATTACATCGGATATACTCAGAATATTTACTTGAGATTCGCTTCTTCCTTGATGTACTCGTTTCCTCAGCGAATTTTTCAGTGAAATCATATTTAATACTTATACATTTAATATTTACATATTTAATACTTCATACATTTAATTTAATATTTAATTTTATAACTTATTTAATACTAATTCAACTTTATTATTTAATACTTATTGTACATGTGTAAACAACTATTTGTGCTGTGTATTAATTTTTCATGTTACTTTCAACTCTTATTCAAGCAACATTCTCGCATGAATTGTTTAAAATAGCTCCTGACGATCGTAAAACTAAAGAAAACTGAGAATTTAAAGGAAGTGTGAACGTGAAACTACCATCTTAAAATAAAAAAGACTCTGCTTACCAAACAAGTGTGAATATTTGGTCCTCAGCACAGATCTTCATAGAGAATAAAACTTTTATCCCGTTCTTATTCATATCAACCCTCTTTCTACTAAAATCACAGACCATAAGAACGTACCTCGTCTGTGCCAAAATTAAAAACTTCCCCGATACACATTCATTTAATCGCGTTACATATAGAATCCCTCTTCTATAATTCTTATCCATTTAAATCCTCTTTCTGCCAAAATAAAATACTTCCCCATACACACGTTCGTTCAATCCACGAAACTGTTGCTTCAAAAAAAAAAATTTTTATTCGCAATCCTCCCCCACACATTAGCACCTCTCCCGTCCACATTGCGACGCCGCGTTGAATAACGAATAGCTCGTAAAACGCCATGAATTTCTGAGCGTCGCTCGCAACAATGATACTCGTAAAGTCAGAATGGCCACCCGAACTTCCTGGTAACGAGACTCTCAAGTCAAAAAGAAGATAAGAAGAGAGTGTAAACGAAGACAGATAGGAAGACGGTGGAGACAGAGATAGGAAAGACCCGATCAGGGAAAGAGAGACGGTGAGAAGAAGGAGGAGGGAGAATATGACGCGTGTGATCGGCAGACCAAGACCATGTTCCGTCACCATGGGAAACGACGAGAGTTTTGATCCGGTCTCGATGGCCAGATGAGCTTTCATTATTTATCGTTACTTTAGAGAGAGAGAGTTGCCGGCTCTCGGTTTTAGCCTCGGCTTTCACGGTTACCTTTAATGGCCGGCCAGCGTGGAAGTTTCGAAACGACTGTTCGCCTTCGCCTCTTTATGCGGTGCACTTAGCAGCGTCGAGCGTCGAGGTCTCTCTCCCTCTTCACCCCTGTTCGTTTCATGGGAAATCGATGAAAAACGTATTAGAACGTTAGGACGAACGAGGCCGGCCCACGTGGACTTTCTTTGTAAATTATAATCAATTATAAACCTCTGTAAATGATCTGTGTCGTCGCGACATCAATGCCCAGCTCCAAGATTCGCAGCCGATGCTCAAAAAGAGATCTGTCGTTCGTCTGTTACAGGTTGGCGAGACGCTGCACCCGGAACTTCAGATCATAACCAGCGTGTTCAACAAAGTCAAGTACCGCGGTGAGTAGATCAATTCTATCCGTTGTAGGTATCGTGGATCTTCGATACGTTACAGATTAGTTTAAGACCGTGGATCCTCATGGCGTACGTTTGTTGGAAACTCGAGGATGGGGAAACGCATGAAAGAGTATTGTCTACGATATTTCACACGTTGATTGTCGAGCGCAAATTAAGTATATTAGGTTTTTTTACGAATCCTTAGGCATGTTACTATTTTTTTATGACGTTAAGTTTATGACACATACTACGTACTTCAGTGTTAGTTTGTCACAAATAACTATTGTAGTATCATGTATTTTTATGTAAATAATGTAATTATGACTACTTCGAAATAATCCAAAATTAACTATATTATTATTATATCGTTATTTGACATCGAATTTAATTTGTTGATTGAAAAATGATTTACTATTGAAAACTCGTTTTTCTACGAAATATCATTTACTAAATATTTCTTCCAAATATTTCCTTTATCATTAATATCTACTAAATATTTCTTGCCTCAAGATTTAAAAATAAGACCGTCATCCAATGGAAACTTGGCTGTCGCCCAGATATGGGTGACACGGCGATCAACGTGTTAATAGATGTAACAATTTTTTATCCAAGTTCCATCTTGTAAAGTATGTTACGATGATTCACGATAATCTACTATGTTAATTATATTTATAATGATAATCTACTTAACGTGATAGAAATAATTTTACTATCAATACTTTCGAACGTGATAGAGCTGTCAATGTTCTGACAAATTAACCAATTCGTAAATTTTCATGAGAATTTGATCGATTATGTACATTTCGAGAGATCTGAATGATATTTTATTTTCTTTCTCTCTTTGTTTCTTAATGGTTAGTAATTCTGTATTTTAATAACTAGCACCTAGTAGGTTAATTGTTCGAATATCTTCATTGTTGAATGTCTTGTCTGAATTTCTTTGCTGAACGTGTGAATTGTTACAAATTTTTAATGAAAGTTAATCTTGAATTAATTCAAAGATTGGCAAATTTCGATTTCCGATCGTACATGTCGAAATTTTCATTTAATTTACAAGAGCACAATTCGCTCGATCATGACGATGCCTGCTACAAATTTTCTAGAGCCACAGAGCGTGAATTCGTGCGGCGCGCAGACTATGATCCATCGTAATTTCACGTATAATGCGCGAACACCTTTCGTCTCTGCCTCTAGCGTGCACTATCAATACGCATTTAGGCATTAACACTGCCTCAGACTACCTGGCGCGTTATAGGCTTTCAACTCGGTAGGCAGGCACCGTTACCGTTTGCTTTTGCCATGGGATGTTAATAGTTTCGTTCGTGCCGTGCCGTATAATGATCACGATTTATCCCCTGTTACGTCGCCATCCTATTAGGAATTTCCGGTCTCCTGCATCCCTACCAAATTTCTAAAGCCTCCGAAACTCACCAGCAAACCGGGAACTTTAATTCGACAGCTTGGAACCCAACACGTTGACCATGAATTATCACAATTGTCTGTAGATTCCGAGATGTTTTTAAGAGGAATCGTATGTGTATTTCAACACATTATCTATGAAATAATAAGTAATCACCCATTGAAATTTACAAAAGTTTCGTGCAATATTTAAGTACACTTTCTTGTAAAACATCTTTCAGCCGAAAAACTTCTTTCTTCTCTGGGTAGAAAGTTTCAACATAATCATAATTACTAGTAGATTTCGTTGGCTATGAATTATTACAATTATATGTAGATTATTTTTAGAATATTTTTGGAGAATTGTCCAATTTAATATATTTAATTTATTAATATATTATCCGTAATATAAAGTTAAATCACGATATCAATTAAAAGTTAAAATATGAAAATTAAAAATTTCTATCTGATGGAAATGTGGTGTCAGCATGATCATAATTACTAATATACATTTCTGAATATTTCTATAGAATTTTGCAAACTTCGAATACTGTCTACACGATAAAATGATCGCTGCACTAAATTACGAACGAAAATTCCAATCGTTAATATCAGTATAAACCAAACGACGCTCTCAACCCTATCCACAACTGTTCCAAGAATATTCATGCTACTTTATGTTCCTGTGACTATAATTAAAAAAGTGGAAAACTAAATAGAAACTCATTTCGTCCGTTGAATATCACAGTAAGAGCACTACACATTGAACATTTCGTAGATACGTTCCACAGATTTTCGAATCTTCCAAAGATACATTTACTCCCCTCTGAATCTGTTCATTACCTCAGATCCCTTCGTGAAATACTTTCAGACTCTACCAAGCCCCTTCTTCTCGCGCAAATGAATTACCTTCGCGAGGAACCACCCCTATCTCATTCAAGCAAACTTCGATATACACATCGTACCTTTTGAACACAGGCGAACCGTCGCTAATTCCAGCTCGTGCCACTTGGTCGTCGAACGTCGAAGAAGTGACATTGAAAAATACGTTATCTAGACGGAGACACACATAGCGGACGATTCATCGTTGCGTGCTCGCGTCTTTCATTCGCGGCTGCAATTAGTGGACCGTCAAAAGGTGTGGCAGTGGCACGTGGGGGCAGGCGAGAAGCACACAGATGAAATCCAGGAAACCGAGGCTCTGGTGTTCGAAGGCGGAAACGAAACGAAGAGACTCGCTCCGGCGAGGAAAGGAGAACGCGTGGCGATGAATGCGCGGTTCACGCACCAAATACCGCCGTGGACCGCATCAGCGAGCCGCGGTGGAAAGTTGGCCGCGCAGTCTGTCGCTGGGATAACCCCGGATAATAAATAAAACGGTGCCAGGGTAGAGAGTGTGCCGACGCTGCCGGCTACGTAAAGGGTGACGCGGGACTCGCTGACTCGAAGAAGAGGGTGAAAAGTCGAGGGAAAAACAGACAGCGAGGGGAAATGAGAAAAGGAGTGAGAGAGAATGAGTAGAAAACGACTCTCTTAAGGTAACGAGTCACTTCGCGGTAGTGAAGGCGAATATCCCGGCCAGATTTCTCGAAAAGGGCGGGTTTATCTCGTCGCGAGAGACGAGTCGATATTCCAAGGTTGTTCGTCGGCTGAATGAGAGGAAGAACGGAAGGGTAACCGGCCACTATTAAACGTTTAAGGCGTTGGGGTTGTTGCGACTGATGTGATGAATTGCGAATAAAGAAGATTCCGCAATAGTATTCACAACGCGTTTTTAGGGGCGAAAAGAGGTTCTTGGCTTTGAATTCTTTCGCGGGTCTTGATAGATTCGTTCCTATTTTTCTCGGGACTGTTCTGTGACTTCCCTTAAGCCGTCGAAAAGATTATTTCGGAAATTTTCCGTGTCTTTTACGCGACACGTGGAGAAACGATTCGTATGAATTCGTGCGGAACATTTAAAACCTATCAAAATTTATAATTTTATAATTAATCCTCGATAATAGCGTGTATGTTGCATTTTGCTTGATAATTGTAAATACCGTAATCGTTCGACCATCGTGGAACTGGAGACGATTCAAAATTTGCAGTAAACTAATGAAAATGTACACGCCGAAGGAAACTACAACATCGATCAAACATTTTCATACTCTCGAGGACAATCAATTTCATACTGTCGACTATCTACATGTAAACAGGTCGCAACATCCAGAAAGAGTCTGGCCAATAAAAAGAAAGCAAGAGAAAAAAAAAAAAGAAAAGAAGAACGCGCGTCGGAATTCCTTCGAAAGGAACCAAAGGAAAGGAAACGCGATATAGCCGGAACGTATCGGCTCGGAAGAATTCCCGATAGAAACGACAAGGTGCGTCGATGTTTCCAAAAGGGTGGTGGGGTCCTTTCTCGGTAAGAGTACTCGACGTTAAACGATTCGTCGATGGATGCGCTCGGTCGCGCAGCTTTTTTACGCGGTGGACACGATCGACACGACAACCGCTCGATTTACAACGAGGGACAACGATGCTCCGGCCCGTCCACCCAGCTTCTGTGTGCATAAATTCCCCCCTCCCCCCTCCGCCTCCCGCACCCCTTTGGCATGATATTCTCTGGTGTGTACGTCGTGTGTACGCGCGCCGCTGTCTGTGTATTTTAATCAATACCCTGTTGACACCGCGACCACGGCACATAAATCATGAGACAATGGAGAATGCCGTGGGGGGTGGACCAACAGGGGTGGATCTAAGTATTCCATTGTCGTGTCGTACCGTCGGCTCTCCCCTCCTCTCCTTCCTCTCCTGTGCCGTCGATGTGTGCACGTACGCCATCCGCGACACAACAATGGGGAATCCAACGATGCGCGCGCGTGCGCTCGTTCCTCCAAAAGTTTCCAGGTATTTATTGCGAAATTTCGCGAGAGGGCAAGATTGTATCGCGCCACACTGACTTCCGGCCGACGAGGAACTGGCCGTCGCGGCTCGGCCGTGATTCTGCGGAACGTACCACTATTTTAGGGACATGGGACGAGGAGGCGATTATGAATTGTTGATAGTTATGGGTATGGATATATTGGGCTGGTGGACAACGCTTGGGAAATTTAGGGTAGGAATGGATAATAAGCTTCGTGTTGTAGGTGACATGTATGTGCATCGGTGGATGTTCGATAATGAGAGTTTGTTATGTAATTAGTAAAAAGATTAAGTTGAATTTTCTGTTTTCTGTTTTGTTTCTTGAAATTATAGGGTAAGAGAGTGTTTGAGAAACTTTATGTAGATATTTTATTGGATTATTAATTTTATCTTATTATATTTGATCTGAACTTGTATATTCTTATTAGATTTATGATTTTATTTGTAGCTAATACTTGATTTAGACAGACAGCTGTATTTTATTTCAATTATTTGTTTAGTACGTGATATACCTTCCTTGAACCCTTTCGATGTTTATGCCGAGCGTACTCGTTTGCTATCTATTGAAGTAAAACTTAGGTAGAACAAGAAACATTTTAGAACAAAAAAAAATTGTTATCAATTGTAATGTAAAATGTATTTTTGTATGTATAATTTTTTACGAAATAATACAATTTTATAATAAATATTTATAATAAAATATG